AATATTCTGAAATATTCTGAAATATTCTGAAATATTCTGAAATAACGTGCTGATTAATGTGAAAAAAGTGGCTCTGTGAAAAAGTCTGATCAAGATTAAAAACTGTTTTTTTATCTATGCGTACTAGAAGACTTTTTTATCACAGGCTGCTTTACCATATGTCCCAGTGAAGATGCTCTGACTTTCTATTCCTTTACTGCAAGTCAAACAGAATATAGTTGTTGGTTTTTTTTTTTTTTTTCCAGAGTTGAAACGCTGTTATTTTCTTCAGAATTGAAGTCCGTGCTTCTGAAGAGTAATCTCCTTCTTGGTTTTATTTTACCTGTAAAGCTATATCTGATACTTCCTTTTTCTTTGACTTTAAGTCAAGCTTTCCTTTTTATGACATAGCTAAATATATGTCTTCATGGGAGACCAGGAGCTCTTTTACCCAGGGTCAGAGATGGGGGTATCAAACTTCCAGGCCCTTTTTAAGCGACGGGCTCTGCCGTGCTCAGGCTGGGACAGGCTCTTGCCTGCCGAGGCTTCCCCACTYAGCCCAGGTTTAGCTGTGGGACAGCCTAGGCAAGAGCACAACATGCTGCTTATTTCCCATAAGTGCAAAATGCTTCCATCTTCAACCATCTCTTGTACTAAGGAATTTTTGTATTTAGTAGCCAAATGTATTTCCTTGTAGAATTCCTACCTGACTCGTTCATCTCTTTCCCTTTCTTTCTTCCCTTTACTGTTCCTGTTTCCTGTTGGCTTTTTTTTTTTCCCATTATGTGGCAGCAAACTCTTGGTCAGGCTTTGTCTGTGGCAGTGGCAGGTAGCTGCAGAAAAGTAGACTTTGCCTCCTGTGATCTGACACCGTGCAGAAATCCAGCCAGGGTAAGAATAGAAGAGAGCCTTGTAAACTCAGCAGATGCATTCAGAGTCTTTCCACTATTAACAATTAAAGGATGATTCCAAGGTAAATTAGGTAATGGATTAACAAACTAATGAAAAGAGAACAAAGAGTGGGGGAAAAAAAAGAGAGATTCTGACTTGAAAGATCCTGCCTTGCAAGAATTTGGATTATTGGGATTCCATGCTGCCTGTCTGTCTGGGAAAGGAACAACAAGCTCCCTTGTTTTCAGGATTAATTTAGTTAGTGGGTAATGTATGTGATATGCCAGAGAAGTTTGTCTTATGTTGTTGAATGGAGGCTTTGCATAGGAGGTGGTGTTTACTGGGGGGATTAGTTAAGAAACAGAAGCATCCYGTTCAGCCCTGCCCAGCAGCATTGCAGCCTTTTCCCTCAAACACAGTAAGCAGTGATAAAAGTTTCTTCCCTCCTCCTACACTTGGCCCTAATCAACATAATATCGCAGCTGGATCTAGACCAAGAAGTGTCATTTGAATAAAATATGAAGACAGTGAAATAGTATTCTTGCTAGTCTTGTCTTTTTTTTTTTTTCCCCTCTCCTCTGTGTTGTTTTGGAGATGTGATATGGTGCTCTGGCCATTTAGGGGCTATATAGTTAATCATATGATTTTTTGTTAACTGGAAGGCCATATAATATTGCTTATCTATTTTAAGGGTAACATTATTTCTAAGTCACAATTTCAACTAAAATCATCTCCCACAAAATATGGGGAGGTCTTTAAAGCCTCCCAGAGAAATTGGCATATGCACAGTTAACGTGAAGCCACAATACACAGCATTCATGGGGCAGGTCCTGTTTGTTTTTGTTCATCTCTGCTAGTTAAAAGTAGGAATAATATAGGAACATGTATTTTAATATGGTGGTTCCTCCTGAAATGCCTGGGAATGCACCTCTGAGGACAAGCAGAAGGGTTTCGTTGTGCTAAAAATCATTCAGCGAGGGACCAAATCAGAGCTGTGAAAGAAGGGAGCTTCCAGTTGGCAATATAATA